CTGATGTCATCCTCCCCTGCAGGGGGGAGGTCTTCACATCCAGAGCTTTTTAGCACAGACTCCTGGCTCTGCTGCATCCACCTCTCTGCTTTCATCCCTCCCTCCCACTCCTCTCCCCACGCTCTGGCATCCAGCTCTGGTATGAAGTCATCTGAGCGTCTCTGGGTCTGACCCCCCCTCGGGCTCGTTCCAGGCTCCACACCAAAACCCACGACCCCTTTATAGGCTTTGTGGAGAGGCAGGGAGGGGCATGGAGAACTTTGGGGGAGGAGAAGGAAAATTGCAGATGATGAAAAACGGTTATTTTTGTGGTGAAATTCTTTTTACAATTTGTTGCAAACCTGCAGGTGTGATGGTGTTATTATTTTTGATTAGTGTGCCTGTCTCTTGTGGACACCTGCATGAGACAGTTTTCCTTTTCTTCTTAGTGTCAGCATTTGCCTGGGTTTGAGCTGGCATCTGGCTTAGTGGTTATTGGAAATTGGAAATTAGTTATTGGAAAATTGTAGATTCAAAAGGAAATCTTTAGCTACAAAGCTACCATATTTTAATATTTGAATGACCTGTGGCTTCTCCGGATCAGACTGGAGATTGGATGAAAGATGAGTTAAAAAAAAAGAGGATGCGCCCAAAGGAGATGGAATATGAGTAGAACAAAGAGATTGATGAAAATGTGTTGTCTTTCAGTGCTTATTTATATAGAAAATGTAAACGAGCAAAATGCAAAAATTAATACAGTGTGTGAATTCAGAATATGACGCTAACTAAGTATTTGATTGCCATTTGGATAAGTACTAGCCTCATTGCCATCAACCTCCATTTTACAGTCCATTTAGTCCCTATGGAGATGCTTTTAGAGAAGAAGAATTCCAGTGGAAGCACTTACAAGGCAGCCATGTATAATGTCTGTTAAGTGTGCATTACAATTCATCCGACAACATTCATTCTGCCGCATTGGCATTGTAATCTCATTTCCAGTTAGTGCCTCCTGCCCCACGCTCATGCATAAGTCAATGTGTGTTTAACATTCAAATCATGCCTTGAGTACATGACGTGTCACAGTGTAGGAGACAGTTGTTTTTATTTCTATTGCAGTGCAGCATTCACTTTGAGTTAGCGTGTGATTTTTATTCATGTATGCACGTCAGACCAAGGCCAAGGCTTTAGCTGCGTTTTGTGTGTGTGAATGACATGGGACATTAACTAAGCATCAGGGCCGCTGCTGTCTCTGCTGCACGCCAGGAGAGGAGCAGAGGGTCGAAAGGCTGAGTGGGGATGCTGGATCGTGCACGCTGAATGTGTGTGTGCTCCGCGTGGGTAGATAGGTGAACGGGTGAATGACCGCAAATGTAAACCCTCACATCCAGCTGCTAGTAAAGCATGCGAACACTTTTACATGGTTAACTCATGCACATAAAATCCATCTATCTCCTGCTGACTTAGCTGTCATATTATTTTGCAGGCAGGGATTTAGAGGGCTGAGTGACAGGAATATGTGGCGTGTTTATTAAATAAGGGCAAGCGTTTTGTGTGACAGATTAGCCACAGATCTCACTGTTGTACATTATGTCCTTCTTGTTACTCACTGCTTTAATTAAATGTTCTCTAATGCTGAGAGATTTAAAAAAGAAAAGCAATACACTATACCAGGCTGAGAGTTTTCTGAAATCTATTAGCAGAAAAAAAGAACCCTACATAATTGCATCCTCACACTGGGTTCATTAACTCGAGGTTTCTATAAGTTTTACTCCACATTTTTCACCAGTCAGGTCTTATTCAATGTAAAGTCTTCATAAGCTTCTGCTGGGGTGGCATTATATTTGTTCTAAAATCCCCGGCTTAATTCCTAAATCCCTCTGTTACAGTAAATCTGGCGTTGTGTGCTCAGTCTGGCAAGTATGGCAAATGGAGGAACATTAGAATTTGAAAGTCAAACATTGTTTAGTTGGAGGCAAACAGCACTCTGTGATTTACTTTCCTGTCAGGATTAGATCGGCAAACCCTGAGTACACACCTCTGCCCCTGCCTCCATGTTTGAGGATGACTTTATGGGGATGAGTGATCTGCTGCACTGAAAGCCAGAGTCTCTCGAGAGACGGGCTCGAAGACGTAATGAGAGGAGTGAAGAGAAAAGAAGCAAAGGGATAACATCAACTCTATATAGGCTGTTTTCCTTCGCATGAATGTGTGTGTGTGTGTGTTTGTATTGCCTCTTTTTCCTTAATCCACCTTGCAATGATATTAGTTTTCAAATATGGAATTATATACATGCAGAATTTCTGGCACATAGTGTTTCTATATTGCATCAATATAAAAATAGGCTAAATAACAGGAGAGTCTGTGTGCCTTGAGGCGATAATCAAACCCATACTAGAAACGACCATAACATTTGATTGACTTTATAGCAGCAAAACCCGGATGAATCAAAAGGGAGGCATCAAAAATGATTTGCAACCCTCAGCTTTGATATTACAATTCATCTTTGCTGTCAGTTTTAGATCTCTGTGAGGGCTTGCTCTCGCTCTCGCCTCTTCTCTTTTCCATTTTAATTACCTTTTACATCAAGCTGGCTAATGTTCCTGTGACCTTACCAAAAGGAAAAAACGTTCTTCTCAGTCATCTGCACAATTGGTTTTGGAGCTGCTGTCATCAGATTTGTTCTGTCAAACAGCAGAATACTCTGATCTCATTCTCTTCCTACTCTAATTACACAACTGTGATTAAACAAGATATTAGCGCCAACGAAGGACAAGCCTGCACAGTTCCTGCAGGCCCTCTGTAAGATATTCAGGAAGTTTTATCCATATGCCAAGACAGTGTTACAAATATGTTCTTGACAGTCTAAAATATGTATTACCTCCCCTTGCTGTGGTTAGCTCTGAGATTAGATTTGGATAGAAACGGACACTTCCTCAATTTACATCTGTTTTCATGCATTAATAAACGGGGATCCTCTGCAGAAGGGATCAGATTTCAGCCACTGTCACGTGAAGTGTGACATGCAGGCAGCTAGCTAGGTAGAGTTATGAACATCGCCTTTGTTGAACAAAATTATAAATATATTCCATTTATTAAATCTTCATGTGGATTATGTTCAAGAATTAAAAATGTTGCAGCATGCCAGCAAATACCTTTATCACTATGGCATATTGAATGAAGTGGAAAGAGTTCATGTTGTGTTGCAGCTCAATAAGCATAGTGTTGTTGTAAGGCAAAGGTTGTCGGTGCTTTGGATTAACTGCAGTAACAAAAACCACACACACACACACACACACACACACACACACACACACACACACACACACACACACACACACACACACACACACACACACACCATGTATACATCACCTCAGGGGACATTACATTGACTTACATGCATTTCCTGGAGACTTATCCTAACCTTAACCATAACCAACACATGCCTAACCCTAACCCTAACCCTAACCCTTACCCTAACCCTAATCCTAAACCTAACCAAGTCTTCACCCTAAAATTAATGATTCCCCTCATGGGGACCTCCAATTTGTCCCCATAAGGGAAGCCAGTCCCCACACGTGACTATGTAAACAGATTTAGGTCCCCACAAGTATAGTAATGCTAGACCACACACACACACACACACGCACACGCACACGCACACACAGATGCACACACATTACACTCCCCCAGTGTTTTACTTTTCTTTGCAAAGAGGAAAATCCAGATTACAGAGCTTCTCTAAGTGAGGGAGATCAGGGTAGCTTTGGGAAAGAGGGGGAAGGTGCTCTATTTTACAGACAGTAGGATATATTTGGATCGAAATAGGTTAGTAATAGATTTGGCAAAAATTAAGATTATAACTTTCTATACAAATATTTCTTGTAACACTTGAATTCTACAAGAGAGACAGTAATATTGATCTTTTAGCATATTGAATGCATTCAGCAATCTCTGTTAAACCATGCACTATCACTTCTGATGTTCTTCAGTTCAAATGCAAACAGCAGGTCTGAGTGATCTCATATTGAGTGGTGCAGTGATGGTGAGCGCCACAAAGGCAGCAAGGACATTTCAGAGTGAGTTGGGCTGCTGTTGCGTGGAGCCTCTGCTGCTAGCGTGGGGCCTGGAGGATTAGTGTCCAATCAGAGTGGATTTGATGTTTACTGACAGCACATGGGATTTATCTGAGAGAACTGTATTTCATTTGAATTCAATGAAGCTTTGCACCCTGTCCGGCCTCCCCTCCCCGTGCGGCGCATCTGGTGAACTAAAAACTGAAACCTGTTGAAGACGCTGCATCATCAACAGCTTCAGGTAAGTGGCTCTCTGGGAGAGGTTGATTGGTTTGGGGGTAGGGTCTTAATCATTGGCATCATCGTCATCATCAACCAAATATACTTGTATCTGGTTCACTTGACGTCACACTGGGACGTGGAGTTAAACGGTATTTATCTAGTTGTAATCCCTCATAGCAATCGGCAGAGCGCGTAAAATGTCCAAAGAGAAGGCAGAGATAAACCCCATTGGATTAGTAAAAGCCCTAGCCCATCCCAACCTATAACTCAACCTATCCACTCCTTTCGTTTTTTGTGTTTTTCATTTACGTTTGGCCACCATCTCATGCACCCTGTTACTCTGTCTTTCATGGAGTAGCTGTGCTACCTCTGCAGTGTACTTTCTGTGGTATGGTGTGATCTGTTTGTGTGTGTGTGTAGTGTCCTCTTTCCTCGCGCACAACAAGCCAGCATGACCGGATATTAATTATTCAAGGACTGCCTGCTACAGGGAGAGTCACCTGATAGTACGGACAATATTACAACCTGATATCAGGTGAAACGGTTGCTTCATCTTCTGCTTGTTCTCCTCCTACCTTTCTTTGCCTTTTTTTTGGTGCCTCTATACCTGAAGACTTGAAAGATAACTTTCACAAAGAGAGCTACAAGTGGATTATTTTTTCAGTTTTGAGAATTTCTTTTTGATCTGTTAACAGTTTCTCTGCTTTTCTTGTTTTGTTGCCAATGCTTGTCCCTAACAAACAGTTGGGCCTTGGTCGCTCCCACAGTTGGGACACGTTAGGGGGGCATGAGGGTCAATGGGAGAGGTCTGATAGTGTCTACGAGCAGCAGGCAAGATTAGCCAGTCGTCGGGGCTCTCTGTCATACGGAGAGGGAGCAGGGTGGTTAGAGCTTCCACCAGGAGTGCATCCCCCTGACCTGGATTTGAAACGTGAGCCATACTCCTACCAAGACTCTCTGTACGGACAGGTTTACGCAGAGCGACAGGACCCACGGGGACTGAGGAAGGGCTCTGCGCCTGATCTTAACAACTACGAACGAGCACCAATGGCTCACAGAGGATCCATTCCACATCAGGATTACTATTCCCCTGACCCGGCCATGACTCCTCGGCCACCTGAGGGCTTTACCGGCCAGAACACCAGCCTCAGCCGCCTCACCCACTTAGTAGATCAGGCTCTCATTATGGAATGGCACCTGTGGCTCGTGCAGGGTGGGATCAGGGTCAGGGAGGGAGAGCTGGACCTCAAGCACCTGCATCGCCTCTGCCTCCTCCTCCACCTCCTCCAACAGCTCATGAGATGAGTCGGGCTTATAGGGAAGCAGCTGTAACTGCCGCCAAAATGACCCAAGATGGCCAGCGGGTCCCTTCTCGAGAGCCATCTCCTTCTCATTATAGTATGGACCAAGCATCTCCTCGGTATGCCAGTGAGCCTCCACCCATTGCTGGTCAGGTTATCTATACTGATGTTAACGGCCGACCATTGGATCCGCAGCAGCAGGCTGCTACCTGTCTAGTTGTAGATCCTGCCAGTCAAGGTGTGATAATGAGGCAAGATCCTGCCTCACCCTACACTGCCCAACAGCAGCAATTACAGCAGCAACAACAAATACAACAGCAACAATTACAGCAGCAGCAACTTCAACAGCAACAAATACAACAACAGCAGTTACAGCAGCAGCAACTTCAGCAACATCAACTTCAACAGCAGCAATTACAACAGCAACAGCTTCAACCACAGCAGATACAGCAGCAGCAACTTCAACAAGATCAGTTGCAGCCACATATGCAACAGCAACCCCTGCAACCTCCGCCTACCATGCCCCTCTCCGACCCTAGCCTTTCTATGACGGCTCCGCTTCCTGCTCCACCGATCCCAATGCAGCCCGCCGCAGTTGCTCCAGCTGCACCTGTCCTTGTGCAGGCTCCCCAAACTTCACTCCCTCCTCCCCCAACCACTCCACTTTATGCTCTTCCTCCCCAAACTGCCCCACAGACACCTTTGCCTGTGGACCCCAGGAAAACCGTTGATCCTGAGTTCCTTGCCCTTCTGCGAAACGAAGGCATCTCAGAGAGCTCCATCTCCTCAATTATCCAGCAGGGATTTGACTCCGCTAGCATGCTAGCTGTTATGGAGGACAACGATATCCGTACTGTCGCACCCAACCTCGGCCAGGCTCGCGTTCTGTCTCGTGTGGTCCAAAACTGCAGGCGGCCCCATGAGGCGACATCAGCCCCATCCCAACCTCAGACACCCATGCGAGGCCGCTCTAATAGCTTTAGCCATCGCTCGGACATCTACCACCAGCCCCCCCAGCACCACCATCCAACCCACCCGTTACAGGCTTTAAATGTGGATGCTCACATGATGCCCCCACAGACCCCTGGGGCCATGCAGACCATCTCCCCAAGGATGGGAGAAGCAATGGGTAGGAGGCCCAACAGTGCCCCTTCTCAGCACATCATGGAAGCTTCTGGAGGCTACCCAGGCCAACCCCCTCGCTCCCCGGGGCCATATGCAGGGGCGCTAATGCCTGCTCAATCAAGACCCATGTCCGCCTACTCTTCTGGGATGCCCATGCATGGTATGCAGATAATGCCACAGCAAATGACTGGGTCAATGCCTGCCATGCCTGGGTCTATGCACTCCATGTCAGGTATGCCACAGCATATGCCTGTGTCCATGCCAGTTTTACCACAGCCACCACAACAGGTACCAAAAGCCTACTCTACCAATTACACAGTGCCCATGGAGCTGATGAAGAGGGACAGGAATGTAATGCCATTATCACCCATGCACAGCCCTCACCCCAGTCCTCAGATGATGCGTAAGGGTGGGGGTACTGTACAGGACAATGCCCTTGTCTCTATGGGACCACCAGGTCAAGGACAAGTTGCCCTGGCTGCTAACCAGAAGCTAAGTCGACGCACAGGTCCACCAGTCATCGTGTCCACTATGGCGTCTCCAGAAACAAGTAAATCCCCTTTTTTTGCCTTTTATCTTTATCCTTTTTCTTGGCTATTTCAAACTTTTTTTAATAGATAAGGAAATTGATTTGCACTAGAGGTTCTCATATTTGGCATGCTTTATGTAAGTCAACATTATCTTGTCTTTGAACAGCTCAACAAAGCAGAGCTGTGGCATTGTTAAGAATCAGATCATGCTTTCACAATTTACATTTCTTAGAGCCATGAAGTAGACTGAAAGCAACAACTTCAGTATTAGGTTGCTGCCTTTCTTTGAAAAATAGGAATACCAGAGCTTTATTTCCATCCTTTATTGTGATGAATCATTGGTATGTGCATACATCTCTGTCAAATTAGTGTTTTTTTGTATTCTGGTTATCCGAAACCATCATTCAGCTGAGAAACATGTGAGATATATTCAGCTGAATGTGTTTGTTGCTGGTATGTAATGCATGATACCTGACCTTAAGAAAGTCCAAACACAATGTTAATGTTAAAAAAAGCATTTAAAAAAGAAATTGTTTCATCTTCCTGGTACAGTAAGTGCTGACATTTGTTTGGGAGTTTCTTCTCATTTCTTCAGCGATTGATACATGGTGTGTTTTTCTTCTTATCTACTCCATTGGAGCAAAAAATAAATTGCTTGCTGCCTCTATTTTTTTCGAATGTTTTGACTTATTATTATTCATAAACCCTAAAAGGACAATTTTTTCTTAGACACTATGGCAATCCATTTCCAGTTCTTCTGGTTTCTGCATTTTCCATGATCATAAAAGGATAGTTAAATCCAGCTTTCTTGTCTGCTTATCTCTGTAGGAGCCAGATTTGTCAGTCTTCTATATACTTTGTGTGAAGTCCTTTTATTATTTCTGTAATCTCATGCAATTCTTTTGTCAGAATGACATATCGCCCCATTAAATACAACACAAAATGGCATTGATGAGGCGAAATATGTATTTTGGCGGAACAGCTGTCAACATAATTTCTGATACCTTTAAGATTTTAACAACCATGCACTGTCTTCATGTTACAGTCTGTCAGTTCCTGCATTCATTTATGAACAGTACACATTAAGGATTCTCTGACCAGATAAGTCGGATATGTGTCGTGAATGTTAATGGTTTTCTGACATGCATGTTAGATTGTGTGTTAGTTGGCAATAGTGTGCTACTCTGCATTTGTGAACACTATGCATGATTGGGTTTGCCTCAGTCTATTTGCATAGATTTTTCTCATTTAGCTTGTATAGTGACTGTATTTAATGGCATTGGTTAGTAATTACAGCAAAAGCTCAGAGCACTTTTTAAAATCACATGATCTGCCTCAACCTTACAGTATTCATATAGGTGCATAATGGTGTTTTCAGCCATAGCGGTATGTCGTTTTTTAGCTGTAGAGTTACTGCAGCTGTTTTTGATGAAGTCCTTTCTGCTCTGCCTCACACCATCTCCCCACATGGATGTCTTATTGCATTATGATAATAAGGGTGCATCATTGTATCCTAGAAAGGCTTTACAGCCACTCAGGCTACACAGCTACACAGCTCTCCTTCAGTCTTGCTGCTTTCAAGGTGTAACGCTGACTTGCTTGAAATAGCAATTAGTTTTGTGTAGTTCTTCTGGAACTGATTTGCTCACAGGGATCAGGCCCTACATTTGAGGAAGTGAGTAAAAGGCAAACTTTTCATTATTTGGTTCATCTCTTTTTCAAGCCGACTGTTGAATTTTAATATGCGTCTCAAATTCTTCTTTCGATTCCGGTTTAAAATGAAATGCATTCAGTCAATGCGTGTATATTGTGTAATCACCTGAATCATCAAACCCATGCCAGATTTAATCTTAATTCAGCATAATAAAATCTGCTACATCACAGTATTTTCTTTTCATGCCAAGGGCCTGACAAAAGAATATTTCAGACATTTTGGGCAATAAGGGCAGATTTCCCCATCAACAGCCGCTCACCAGAGGCTGATGGCAGCGTCACTGGACAGATAAAATCGAATTACAGGGCTGATGGCCGATGTGTGATTGTGTCATTTTCTCCGTGCGGGTTGTAATGAGAAGAGGGGGTGGGTGGGGTGGGGTGGGGGGTGGGGGGGTTAATCCTTTAGATCCTCCATTGCTGCACTAATCCACAGATATTCTGCTTTTGTTCAGATAGTTTCCTGGCTTACTGTTAGACTGTGAACTACTGTACAGGTTGAAATGGACTTTAACAGGAGCAAAGGGAGCAAAAGTATTTAACTGACGCATTTTTTTTGTCGTCTCTCTGATTTGAAGGCCCAAGTGAGCCGATATTTAAAGGTCCCTGTTACTTGGCTGTCAAAACAGATTTCTGCTCTTTGCACAGACAGACACATGCTTTAGAAAATAATTTCTTCGAGTCTGCCCCGAACACACACATCACATTGTTAGTACACACACACAGTCGGCGGAGTAGACCTCATTTGCATGTGGCTGACATTTGTTGCTTTAGTAATTTCATCTGTTAATGGACACAGCCGCAAAGCTGCTCTGAAAGCATATTCCTAAATTGTATGTTGCTAGGCAACGTGGGTTTTGGTGGTAATCGTAGGCAGATTTGTTTCTGGTTAAAGGGTCGGTCCATTGTCAGGAAACACTGCAAATGTACATGTTACTTCTTTTTTTCTACAAGACGGCTGGCTGAGCTGATGCATTTGGAAGAAAGTATTAATTAATAACATGCACTTATTTTCTTGAGGGATGAATACAAAATGGGAGGTTTTCAAATGAAGATGTGATTTTAGAATATTTTGTCAGGTCGGATAATTATATTTGATGGCAGCAATAGCACATTTTTCATTGCTTAACATTTTATTAGTAATGAGCTTATGATATCTCCTGATATTCTGACAACCCTCTAACGGTTCATCAGTTACGGCATCGAGTTGCATCAACAACCGGAAATAATTTATCTGTGAACTAAAAGCTCTTGTGTAAATACAGATGGCATGCCCCCGCCCACCTCACTATATGGTGCTTTGTGGAATACCCTTGAGCAAGCCCCCGCCTTTACATGACTAACTATGCATCCCCATCCCCCACACCGGCATAATCGTCATATATGATACTGTGGCACGTCCACTCTTTAACCTCTACCCTGCACAGTGTGTAAGCTCTCCCTCCGTGGACTCCAGCCAGGCGACCTGATGCCAGCTCAGGTCAGTTCTGCTCTGCGTGGCTTATACTAACTGCAATTTGTTTGGACTTGCCGAATCCTAGCGGGATGATGGGGGAGGGTCGTGGCATATTAGATCTGGAGATGGCAGATTATGTATTAAACAGGGTCCAGGTCGAAGCTTCAGGCCGTTTTTTACAGAGTGAGGGATTAAGGAAGAGAAGAGAGCTACGATTGATGGATGATGATTGCTGCTCTCTGGGTGGGGGAGGGGAAACGGGGCGTTGACAGCTGTCAGTCAACCTTGGACTCTCCATGTTAGACGAGGCTAGCTGTCAATGTGGCATTTACACTCTGAGGGTCAAACGTTGGCCTTAATCTGGGCTGACAGTCAAAGGTTGTTTTTGTTATGCTTCTGGTCACTCAGTAAAATATTTTTTTTCCTTCTGCCCCGAGATTGGCTTACTAATGCCACAACCTTGAAAAATGCAGAACTTGGATTAAACTCGGGTATTTCCAAAGCAACTATGGATAGACATGAACATTATCGCTATTGTACTTTTTGACATTTACAGCCTCAGCCGTTTCAATCTGTGGAAACTACTGTTGATTTATTTGCAGTTATAATTGCATACAAAGTGTCTGGCAGTTGACATTCATCCAATGCTTTGATGCATATGAAACTCTTTTGGTTTAATAATTTGTACAAAGATCAAACTGTCTCTCATACCTGGTTGTTTGATTCTAAGGTATACGTTTGTGTACATCAAAATGCAAGGAGACTTTTATTTAATCGAGTCATATTCAGATACTGGGTCAATTTGGATCAATTGAGCGATGATGTTGCAGGATTTTGTTGGCTGAGGCTCATGGGTGTTGTAGTATTTAGAGCAAAACCAATTTAGTGGTAAAAATGAGATTTCTCTGAATAATTAAAGCTGATTGCCATAACATAAACCTGTCGTTTAAATATGAAGGATACAGCTGTACTTGATGTTGAGAAACATTTAGGATACCATAACCAGAATAATTCAAAATCCTCCGACATCACACACTCTATGCAGCCTGTGTGTAGAATCAATGTTTATTTATTTATATAGCCCAATATCACAAATGTTACATTTGTCTCAGTGGTCTTCACAGTTTGTACAGAATATCAGTATGACAATACGACACCCTCTGTCCTTAGACCCTCACATCGTACAAGGAAAAACTTCCAGAGAAAACCCACAGTTTAAAGGGAAAAATGGGAGAAACCTCAGGGAGAGCAACAGAGGAGGGATCCCTCTCCCAGGACGGACAGACGTGCAATAGATGCCGTGTGTAAATTGAAGAGATAATACATTTGCAACATAGGTAGTCCAAATGTTTGGAAATGCATGTGTGTATAATAGGAAGATGAATCCACGAGGATATCCATCCAGGACCTATGATCCAGGACCACAGCCACGACTCAAGATCCAGGGCTCGCGATCCAGGACACAGGACCGCAGGATCATCCATGTCTCCGGATCCCGGCGTATATAGACACCAAAAAGAAAGAAATTTGGAGGAAGCTGGGTTAATCGGAACATGAGAGTACACAGGTATAGACAGAGAGAAGGAAGAAGTAAGATGTCCCCCGACAAACTAGGCCTATATCAGCAAAACTAGGGGCTGAATCTAATCAGCCCTAACTATAAGCTTTTAAAAGGAAGGTCTTAAGCGCACTCTTAAAAACGGATAGGGTGTCTGCCGCCCGAACACAAACTGGAAGCTGATTCCACAAATGTGGAGCTTGATAAGAAAAGGCTCTGGCTCCCATTGTACGTAGAACCATGAGCGTTGCTTGTAGTGTGTGTATGCATGTGCAAACTGCTGTTAACAGGTG